TTCCCCTCCAGCTCCAGGCGGTAGAGAGCCGGGCTGGAGGCAAAGAGCTCACCGGGGAGGGTGGCCAGCGCGTTGTCTCGCAGGCTGAGTTCCCGCAAGCGGCCGAGGTGGCCAAAGGTGGCAGGGTGCAGGGCGGTCAGCACGTTGCGGCTCAGATCCAGTGCCTCCAGGCTGCTCAGCGGCTCCAGCAGGGCAGTGGGCAGATGGCTCAGCAGGTTTCCCTCCAGGCGCAGCTCCTTCAGTGAACCCAGCCCTGTGAAGGCATCTGGGGCCAGGTGAGCCAGGCGGTTTCCACTGAGCGAGAGCTTTGCCAAGCCGGGCAGGTGCTGGAAGAGCCCCCCTGCCAGCTGTTGCAGGCTGTTGCTAGCCAGCAGCAGGGTGTGGAGGGAGCGCAGCGGCCCAAAGATGTCTGGGTGGCGAAGGGAGCTCTGCTGGTTCCCCGAGAGGTCGAGGAAGCGCAGCTTAGCCAGGCCAGTGAAGGCACCGCGGCTCAACCAGCGGATGCGGTTGGACTCCAGGTGTAGGTAGAGTAAGTTCGGCAGCCCTGAGAAAGTGGAGTCGCCCAGCGAGCCCAGCTCGTTGCCATCTAGGCGCAGCTTGACAAGGCTGCCGAGGCCAGAGAAGGAGGCTGCGCTGAGGCGGCCGATCTCGTTGGCGTTCACATAGAGGATGCGCAGCTTGGCCAGGGCGCTGAGGGTTCCGGGGGCCAGCGCCGGCAGCAGGTTGTTGCCCAGGTAGAGCTCCTCCAGCCGACCCAGGCGCTCAAAGGCCTTGGGATGCAGCGAGCGGATCCGGTTGTACTGCAGGTCCAGGCGCTGGAGCCCTGCCAGGCGGTGGAAATCGAAGGCGGAGATGTTGGCAATGAAGTTGCCCCCGAGGCTGTAGGTGAGGATATCCTGGGGCTCGGCAGCCTTGGGCACCGAGCGCAGGCCCCGGTTGGTGCAGAGGAGGTGCTGGTGCTGCTGGCAGTCGCATGGCTCGGGACAGATGGGCTCGGCCGGCGGGAGGCGCCGGGGGGAGGGGGGG